GTGTGTGGTGTTTGTTGGGGTTTTGGGGGGGGGGGGGGGGTGTTTGGTTTTTTTTTTAACCTGCTAGGTAGCATCCTACTGACAGACACTTGTCATGACAGATAATTTCTACATATTTGGAACATTTATCTTTTTGTAAAAGAAAAATGCATAACTCATCTTTAAGTTTAACAACTCTTTCTAAGCACTTTGCTGCAAGATCACCAGCTAACCTCTGTGAGGAACAAAACTTTCATGGTCACTCCCCAACTTAGTAACAAGTATGGTAAACATTGTACTATCTAAAGCTCTTAGTTTTATAAAATTAATCACACTGATGACATCCTGTGGCACTCTGTGCACTTTTGTCTCCATATCCTTTGCAGCAATAGCTTGTCTATGTATGATGCAGTGGAAGAATTTCACTGATAGCGAGGCTGATTTGAAAAAAAGGATTCTGGGGTAAGGTTATCAGTGGAGACTTACAGTTTTTCCACAACACATTGTTTTTATTAAAGTCATTTACTGTTGAGTTTGCATCTTTTCCAGTACATCTATCTTTCCTTCAGTGACTCAAAAAACCTGCATCTTTAGATATCTCATTATTCAAACAAAATCTAGAAAACACCATAAGCTGAGACGTGTTAGAAACATCTGTACTTTCATCCAACCATATAGTAAGCTTCCCACACTGCATAGTTTAATACTCATTTCTTCAAACCTTCAGCAATATCTTCTATACATCTTCCAACAGTATTTTCTGACCAAGGAATGCATTTCAGTTTGTTCCCATCTTGTTTTCTGTATATTATTCCAGCCATATTTACCATGACAGGAAGAAAAAAATGTTTCCCCAATGGTATCATGGCTTTTTGTCTTCTGCTATTAAATGAGAAGCCTCAAAACTGGCTTCTAAAAAATTTAACGTAAAGTTTAGTGAAGTTTTGTAAAGTACTAAATGGGGTATTACAAGACTTAAAACATCAGTGAAAGAGGTAGAGGTTTGTCTTCTTGCTCCGTATACTTAGTTTTTAAAACTCTTTCTTATCATGATTGCTTCATACTATCACTATCTCAAAACACAACACAGACTTAGGGTGAGGTTCATCATTAAAAATAGTAGATGTAAACACGTATTTCAAATACTGTTCTTGATAATTTTGAATCTTTTTGACTGACTTCTTACCACATCTGCTTAGACTGTGATTGTTTTTACCCTGTAGTGTAGCTGACAGAGTTCAGACTTAAGAATAGGAGAAACATCAGCTCCACCATTTTCTTGTTGTCTGCTTGTGCTCACAATTAGCATTACCTTGTGAGGGTTATTTTAGTTAAAACTAGATAATTAATCCATAAATCCACTTAACCAGGCACACGTAAACTGCAGTACGTCACAATACACTGAAAGCGAGCAAATGAATAAAGGTATCACCCAACACCTGCAATTTTGTGGAGCACCATCTCTTCCCAAGCACACCTTGCCCACCAGTGGGACATGTGGTCATATGGACCAAGTGATGACACCAGTATCAATCCACACATTAAATCAAGTAAAGCTTGATTTCTTAAATTTTTAAAAAATATTATTTTTAAGAAAAGATGCACCCCAGGGTGCATCTATCCCTCTTTGAAGACCACTGCTATTCATGATCTGTAAATACTGCAATAATGCAACATGAAAGACAAAAATAATTATTTGTACTGTAAATCAACAATCCATATTCCTTATATGATTATGGGTTTTTATTATGAGTTATTCACAGTTTGAACATTTTGTATCTTGTCAAAAAGAAACACTAAAAAAGCCCAACAGAAAACTTCTTTTCTTTGGTAGGTTTTCTTTATCCATTAAGCCATCAGCAATTGTTTGCTTTAAGTTAGTTCAAAGAGAACATCTGTTTCTGCAATCAGTCAAATGAATTTAAATTACATGTGGCAATAAGTGGAAACACTCACTCATATGCAGAAATAGGATAACTCATAAAACCTGTGAGGACTGAAGGCAGACAAACAGCAGATTGGTTGAAACTTAACAACTTAAAATCAGGAATTAGAAAAAAGGTTGTATAAGCATGTATTTAACCAAGACTAGAAGAAAATGCTTATTAGAACTGAAAGTAAAAAAAGAAATTAGTTGTTTTAAGTAAACCTTAAAAAGCCAATGCAACATATATCCAAAGCAAGAAACAGTTAACAGGAATCATGTCTTAAAATCCCCCAACTCAAAACTGAGGGTTTCTTCCTTCCTACAATATTCTTTTATTAGTAGTCATGCAGTTCAAATAGCTAAGCACATGCAATGTAGTTATTCTCCATGCACTTCTGATCAGGTTACCTTTTATCAGACTGCCATGAAACTGAGTGTTAGGAAACAGAAGTCAGTACAGTTGCCTCTGCCCTTCTTGGTAAGAAGATAAAGAGTAAAATTTAAAAGTAATTGACACTAGTTCTTGGTATCTTAAAAGGACTGAATCTTCTTTGACTACAGGCTACCTCCCTCCTCAATCATTATTTTGAAATTCCATTCACCCTCCAAACCACTTTACTTGGCTAAGAAAGCAGTATAGACTATTATTAAAAAAAACAAAACACAATTACAAATGTTAGCTAAACCAATTTAGTACTTTTTTCATCTTTCTGCATTCAGTTCTAGGAGCGCTGCTGCAGACCATGGCTTTGCAAGGTGGAACAGGAAAATAACTGAGCATCACTGCAGTTGTACAACTGCATGGTAGCTGTTCTCAACCTACTAGGTCAAGAGTTCTCCCCATCATGAATTACAGCCATGCTACACTGCTGTTAAACCATAAGCAGACGCATACATTCCAAAAGGAAGCAAAAAAGTAGCGAAGGCACTCAATACCAAGCATCTCCATTTCACTACTACTCAACAAGAAGACTCTAACTTAAGGCTGCAGAGAACTGCCACCTTTTAAGCAGAAAGAAGTATGTAAACCCATCTCACATCATGCCAATATTTCAGAGCCTATGGGAAGGGCAAAGAAAAGGTAAGTTAAGTTTCACACATACAACTATTTGCGGAAGAATAACAATAAACTGCTTTACATCTGAAGATAACTTCAAACAATGAGATCTGGCCACATCAACCCTTCCTGCAGGAACAGCGTAAGAGCAGAGACTTTCACAAAGAGTGGTTTGTGGGTTTTTTTGGTTTTGCCCCCCTCCAAATCTATCCAAAGGTTCTACAAATCCTTTACTTCTACAGAAGTGAATTCAAGCGCAGTACAACTTTCATGTTTTGAGGCTCATTCCTCCAAGCACCCTGCTTTATAAGACAGGGTTATGTACCCTGGTAGTTAGAAACAAAAAGTAATGCCACAACATGAAATTTGTTTATACAAGTTTCCTCAATGTCCCTTCTTTGTACCACAATGAACAATAAACCCACGAATGCCTAAGTAGTATTTCAGTACAATACCTTCATCATCAATCCACTTGAGGGTAATTGGCTGCTCCTGTTGTAAATTACACATCTCATGCACTTCATCACAAAGTTCATCATAGCTCATTGATGCATCCACATTTGTTATCAGGATGTCCCTGCATGAGATGAAATGATAAGTTTCTCAACATGAATGAGATAGCTTCCCTATTTTCCTACTATGTGACAAGTAATTTTAGAAAACATGTTACATTACATGTTTTGCCTATTTATATCTTTCAACCAGAAGCTGAAAAGTAATACACTGAACTAAGAAGCTTAAATTTTATTACTTAAATTTTAAATTATATGCACCAATACCTTTGCATTTTGCCTTTGCTGAGAAAAATTCTAGTAAGCAAAGCTCTAAAACAATAATTTTTAAAGAACTGTACTAAGTTTCAACAGATTAAAAGCACTGCTACCTTTTCAAGTGCACCTTTAATCTACAATTTGTGAAGTTCTCAGAGACCAGCAACTTAATAATTCTTCATAAGAGCAATGGAAAAAGAAATATGTATGCTAACTGCCAACTTGTAAAACCATCTTATTCTACAATACTGAGAGCTGTCAGATGAGGTGGAGTTTGAGAACATCCCCCTGTCAAAAAAGTCCTATTTTATGCCTTATGAAAGTAAGGGACCATACCAGTTCTCAAAACAGTGTTTGAGGTCTGGCACCTTGGTGCCTTGCACCAAGACAAGGTCACTAACAAATGCAGCTCATTACTTAATGCACTGCCACCACAAGCTACTCATGGTATCAAATAGCTATAGAGCTGTGGTGACTCTGGACAATCATGCTTTCACAAGTATCTAAGTAATATTCAAAAACTGAAACTATGCAGCAAGACAGTACTCTACTATGCATACCACAAAAGCCAACTAAAGCTGACAAATACTAAATCAGCTTTAAATTGTCAAAATTATGATAACAGATAGCACTACCAATCTACATGTAAATTAATAAACTTATTAAACAAAACACAGCTGAAGTATGCTAAGTAGCACCTATTGCAGATGCAAACATTAATGAGATTTATTCAAATTATATTATGTCAATGACATCCATGTTCCTTTGCTATTGACTGTGTTTAATCTTAATGTCTGTATAGTCACATTAGGCAAGCAGGGACAGATAAATTAAAATCAATTGTTTAAATCAAAATCATTGTTTAACACTAAAGAACACCACAGAACACTTTTGTCAGGTATCTGAAACCGGATGCTACAAAGTAATACGAAAAACTAATAAACAGTAAGTTATATATGAGCAATTATAGCAAGAGAACCATTCCCATTGATAGATTAAACATGTCACCATTTAGAACCAAGGTCATATAAAGCATACTGAAATGAGAATTATACAAGTTTACTTTCTTTTGCAATCTACTTATGCAGTTATTTATACTATGCTATGTTAGGAACTCTGTCACACCCAGAAACATGAATACCTAAGATACTAGGACTCCACAGAGATAGACTCAACATTCACCTGTTTTAGAGCTTCCTCATGCTTAGATTTTTAACTGGGGTTTCAAAATGATATATTGTATTATTATTTTAATTTTTTGGCAGCTACTGAATGAGCTAGTCCTTTAATAATACAAGATTCATTGAGTTTGGAACTCTTGTTTTATATACTTGAGAGATTATTTGGTCCACCTCAAGTGAGAATAGCATTAAACAAGCAAACATCACAGGGAGATTACCCCAGTGATACACCAAAACTGAACAACAGGGGGAAAAAAAAGACTTCACAGCTAATGAAAATTACAGAGTCTAGTGTTATAGGACAACTACAGTAGTAGTTTACTGTAAAACATCATAATAATTACACATAAATTCTAATATTAGTATTAATTAGTAACAAGTATTAACACCTCCATTTCTACGCAGACAAGTTCTACAGACTTCGTATCAGCACTGACAGCAAGCTATCTCAAATTGTTTACACTAAATTCTATTTGTGTTTATAACGCCTTCCCTTCAGAGCTAAGGCAGCTCTCCTACTGCTGTTTCAGAGAAGCATGCATATCCATGCATCTCAAAGCAGCATATCACACGAGTATTTGAAGTTCAGATCTTCTTTTTAACCTAAGCCTATGTATGACATGATTCAGAGGTGCAGGACAAAACTGTGGAGCTGAAAATAATTATTAGTAATGGCAATATGGTACAAATTTTTCACCCAGATTTCACAAAGCAGTTTACATGCATCTATTAAATACCCAAAACCATGGTGCAGATTAATAATAACAAAACACAACTGATCTGCATTAATCATCATGAGCACATTTCAGAAATTACTAAGCAGCAGTAAAAACAAGCCATTACATACAGTCCCATTTACTTTCATACATGGATTTCTTGTGAAGTAAATATTACTTCAAGTAAAGCAGCAAATGTTTGTATTTTGTTAGGACATAAGTTTTGACATGAATTCTCACCACTAAAAGGTTATCTGTGTTTTTACTAAGTAAATTTTCATAGGAAAATTTAACCTGTAGATAAATGACCTGTGATTTAACAGATTCTACTAGACTTTCAATTTACATGTGGCAAAATGAGGACATAAAAATCAAATTACTAGGCATAAGGAAAGAATTCAAGTCAGTAGCAGAGCTAGAAATTGAAGCCAGTTTACTTTTTTTATTTATTCACAAGAGGAAGACGACTGTAGGTTTGATTTATTTTTTAATCACTTAAAACTGAGACTTCAAGCAGCATGCATGGGTTCATCTAAATTTACTGATAACTTATCTAAGCAAAATTCTCTTATTTCTCATATTTACCCAAGTAATTCAATAATAATTCCCTCTAAACTTTCTATAAAACGAAGGACAAATCCAATAGCATCCACTTATTATTTCAAGACTTGCATATCTATCCACAAAGAAACACCTCCTCTAATCTTCCAAGACAGAACATACTGTAAATTAAAATAGTATCTAAAATCCCCATGGGAAAAGGACTTGTACTAAACATTACATGTTCTGTCCCAAGGAACACACAGTCAAACTGACATCTGTAAGTGGAAACCTGTACTTCATAGTCTCCTGCTAATTTCAGCAGTAACTTGTAGAGCTCATTATGTAACACTTATCATATCTTTATTATAAAGTCGATGCAATAAAATTTAATAACTGCATCTGGATCCAAGAGATAGATCTATACCTGTCTGTGACCATGAACACTTGTATCAAAACACAAATCAATAACCCCATCAACCCAGAATAATTCTATGCCAGTCTTGCACATTTTCCTCCCTTTCAAGAAAAGGCTAAGTTATCACCTCTCTTCCACAATCAGCATGCTGCAGGAGTCTGGATGGTATTTTAATAGCCCAGAAGTTTACCTACCTGATCTGACATTAATTACAAATCCACCAATGCCCTGGTTACTCTATCACTAGGTCAGACTATGAACTCCTGCTCAATAGGCTTCAAAATTAGACAGAACACAATACATAGGAGAGAACATGCTGACTTACCCACTATAGTGTGTTTTTACTCTGATGAAGTCTTTGTTCAAATCAATTTTTGAGCCCATTCTGCTAGGCATGGTCTGTATTTAGCAGTCTGAAGGAAACTATAAATACATAGAAATAAGTTCATTCAAGACAGATAACTCATTTAATTCTGAAGCTAACAGCTTCAGATGTGAATATTGTGCTTCTCCTCCAGATGATTTTCAACCCAGCTGCATAGAAAGAAAACCACAATACAGAGAAATACACACTCTACTAAACAAACTAGTTGTGTCAAATCTCAAAAACATAAATAGCTTTACACAGAAAAGCAAGAAATCATAAGTAAAATATACAAGACGATTGACCTGCACAGAAATTAAATGAGATCAGCTAAATGCTTGGGATATCTCTGTAAAACTTAACTGTGCAGGGTATTTTTTAATAAAACATTCAAAAGTTCCCTCTTTGCCAAAAATGCTCTGAGGAAATCTTTACTTATTCAGCACATCCTATGCCTCTTTTCTTCTAAAGACTAGAGTATTTTAATTCAAAGTAATTTTTATATACATGGTACACTGCTATCAATTAACGTTAGTTACAAATTTACCCAAGAAAGGCAGAAGAGGAACTCCAAGGGGCAACTGAAGTTACCTTTACAACTGGAGACTGACAAAAACCCTGCTTATTCAAAATTACCACCATCTTCCCCTATACGTGTGTATACATATTCAGACATCTCCCTAACCCCACTGTCTTAGGGAGGCAGGGCCATAGGTATCAGGGAGACACCAGAACGCGGCCTCCCGACCTCGCCTCTCCTGTGGGGTTAGGAGGAACACGCAGCCCCTTCCTCGCCGACCCCAGGGAGCGCCCTCAGCGCCCGCCGCGCGGGGAGCCCGTGGACTGTCGGACACACGGGCTGCGCACAAGGCGGGTGGGGAGCGGCCGGGAGGCGACACTGTCGCTCGGGACGAG